GCATATGGAGGAGGGCCCTGACTGTGAAGGGAAGGGCAGGTAGAATTCAAACAGAGTTGCCATTTGCTGCAGGCCAACCAAGGTTAGGCTCATGAGACACAATCTTTGGAAAGGTAGAGTGTCATTGTGATGGAAAAGGCTTGTAGAGCAACAGTTCTGACTTCACCAACCCAGGGCTCACATCTGTTAGCCCAGCGTTCTGGAAGCTGAGGCAGAAGGACCATGTGGTCCATCCTGGGCTAAATGGTGAGACCCCCGTCTCAAGGGGGAGGGGAGGATGACTTTATGTCATTTGGGGATGTAGTCAGTTCCATTTGAGCCTGTTGGGTTTTTGTTGAGCTATGCTGTGAGTACCTCCAGTCAAGTGCCAGATGCCTCTGTCCCTCCTACACTAATTGTCTTTCTGTTTACTGAACCAGGCCTCCAAAAGCCAGGACCGAAAGTCAGCCAGCCGGGAAAAGCGGTCTGTCGTGTCCTTTGACAAGGTTAAAGAATCCCGAAAGTCCAGAGACTCAGAGTCACGGAGGTGAGCAAGGCTGGGAGGGGACAGCTGAGAGAGTGAGAGTGGCAGGCAGATACTTAGAGGGCCCTTCACTGTTCTCAGACCACAGGAAGTGGCCAGTGGGGTAGGGACAGTGGGGAACCTCATTGCTCGGGAAAGTGATAGCAGGTGTTTGGCCAGCTGGGCACAACGCCATTGCAGTTTCTAAAGAGACCTTTACTTAAGGATGTGTGTGTTCAAAGTGGGTGTCAGGGCAGGCCGTCTCCTGTCACAATGGGGAATGGCCACTTGCTGTTCTGCTGGGCTTGGCGGCTGGGTAGGTCTACCTGCTGTGGAGAAGGGACAGGAGGTAGCAGCTGCAGTACCAAGGATCCACTCACTGAAGTGTTGTTTTTGAGCTTGCTGCCTCCAGCATGACCCAAGCTCCTCCTCACACCGTTTTGCCCTCCTCACAGGGAGCGAGAGCGCAGTGAACGGGAGCAGCGGCTGCAGGCACAGTGGGAGCGGGAAGAGCGGGAACGGCTAGAGATCGCCCGCGAGCGCCTGGCTTTCCACCGCCATCGGCTAGAGCGTGAACGCATGGAGCGAGAGCGCCTGGAGCGAGAGCGCATGCACGTGGAGCAGGAGCGGAGGCGTGAGCAGGAGCGCATTCACCGTGAGCGAGAGGAGCTGCGGCGGCAGCAGGAGCTGCGCTATGAGCAGGAGCGCCGGCCTGCAGTGCGCAGGCCCTACGATGTGGACGGCCGGTGAGCAGCCAGGGATACAGACCACCAGACCCAGGTGCATGAGGCAGGGGCAGGATATCACACAGACTGACCTAATTTGGAGCCTGCTGCAACCATTGATGTGTGAGGCTATAGGCAGGCAAGTGTTCTGCCAAGCTGCCGGTGCTGAGGTCTTCCAAAGACCAGGACACTCAGGTGGCACTAAGGCAGAGGTGTGGGGTGTTTGGTCCAAGGGTTTATTACACCTTCCACAAGGAAGCTCTTGCCAGGGACTTGGAGCAGTGCAGGCTCTAGGTGACTCATGTCCCTGCCTCAAACCCCATTACAGGCGTGATGACGCCTACTGGCCAGAAGCCAAGCGCGCAGCACTGGATGACCGCTACCACTCAGACTTCGGCCGTCAGGACCGCTTCCACGACTTCGACCACAGAGACCGGGGCCGTTACCCCAACCATTCCGTGGATAGGTGAGCCTCTGTGTGGGCCCATGGCCATGTTGGGAAGGTTCTGCAGGCAAACCCCTCCCCATCTGATCTCACTGAAATCACATTTTTTAGGAGAGAAGGTTCAAGGTCGATGATGGGAGACAGAGAAGGACAGGTAAGCATGGGCCACTGCTTCAGCTGGGGAGGGGTAGTCCCACTCTGCCAGTGCTGCCTGATGTTGCTCCAGAGCCATAGTGCTGGCCACCTCTGCCACCCATGCACTCTAAGCCACGCTGAGTGTTGGTTGCAGCCCCACGTGTCCTGCATACTGCTCCCTGGGGAAGGCTGACCCAGCACCTCTCACATCCGTCTGCACCACTGCTACTTTTAGCTGCACAGTGCCACCTTCACTGCTGTCTGGCTTACCATCCTACCCCTTTGGTTTCCCATCACCAAGTTGGTACCAGGGTATCTGCAAGCCCTCAGATACTCATTCCTCAGCCCTATGGCTTAGCTTTTCTACAGGCTGCCTTCCTGATGTCACCATTTTCACATAGCTACTTGTCTCTGTGGGAACAGGTGACCGGCAGTGCCCTCTGCATGTTTATCTGTACTTAAAGTTGTCACTCTGAAAAGGGCAGGTGACAGTGTCTGACTTGAGAGATAGGAAGGCAGAGTGAGAGCTGTCCCGGAACTCCAATGTCCCAGGAGTTTGTGGACAGGCAAGAGACAGGGAGTTGGGAGGTGCTAACTGCACTTGGCTTCACCTGGTGCCTATCAGGACTTGGCCTTGAAACAGGGTTTTGGGACGGCCAGTAATTGAGCCTAATATAATGGTTCACACTCATAATCTCACCCTTGTGCAAGGGTTCATGTGTTAGTGTCTCACATTTGTGAAGCAAGGGTACTGTGCATAGGCTGCGGCTCTTGTTAGGAGCCCTGTAAACTTAATCCTGTGTGAGGAAGGACACTATAACAGTGGCCACGCATACTCTGGTCCCTGAGCTTTGTATCCTCTTGTCTGGGGATCGGGCAGTGCTGACCTCACCATTTTCTCTGGTCCAGCATTACCCTGAACGCCATGGAGGACCTGAGCGCCATGGCCGGGACTCTAGAGATGGCTGGGGCTACAGCTCTAACAAGAGAATGAGTGAAGGCCGAGGGCTGCCCCCTCCTCCCAGGTTTGTGTCCCATCCTCCCAATGCCTGGTCTTGGGGTGACTCTTAGCCTGGCCTGGTGGAGTGTGAGTGCCCCTCCCCCCCCCCATGCTGTTTGCCAAGGGCCTGGTGTGACAGTGCAGGTCAGAGGTGTCTCTTTCCAAGGGGCAGGCGTGACTGGGGGGAGCACAGCCGGAGACTTGAAGATGACCGGGCATGGCAGGGTGCAGCTGACGGAGGCATGATGGAGCGTGAGCACAAGAGGTGGCAAGGTGAGGACTGGGTGGGAGCCGGGCCACTGGTCAAGGAGGGATTGGGGCCTGGGGTAGGATAGGGCCGGGTGAGACCAAGTAGGGCTGTTGGTTTGCCAAGCTGCCCACTTGGACTTGTGCCTCATCCTGCAGGTGGTGAGAGGAGCATGTCAGGCCACTCAGGGCCTGGCCACATGATGAACCGTGGTGGCATGTCAGGGTAAGTGCTAAACTGTCAAGGAGGAAGTGGGTTACGCTGCATTGGTGATCTGGGTAATGACCTGTGTCGTTGAGGAACACTGGCTAGGTTAAGACCTCAGAACAGCAGCCATGGGCTTCTCCTTATCTCCTTAGGCGTGGCAGTTTCGCCCCTGGTGGAGCCTCACGTGGCCATGTGATTCCACGGGGAGGGATGCAGGGAGGCTTTGGAGGACAGAGCCGAGGCAGCAGACCCAGTGATGGCCGCTTCACCCGCCGCTACTGAGCACCTGTGCCGCCCAGCTGTGACCTGTCAGGACTTCTCCCACCATTGTACAAAGGAATTTTTTTTTTAATCTGCTGCCATATTGTAGCTTGTCACAATGTGAATTTATTTTCATTTTGGTTTTTGTTGCTGTTTTTTGTAATAAACGTGTTTCTGTTCATGTGCCCTTTAATTCAAGCCTTCAAGCTTGGCCTCTCATTTTCATCAGGAAAGAAGTGGTACTCCACAAGCAACCAGAGATGGTGTCCATGGTACTAGCCTGTCCATTTCTGTGGCTCAGCACCTGTGGGCTTGACTGCTTCACTTCAGCCCTGTACGTGGGAAGACAGCCAGCCCACTTGTGCCCACCGTGTTGGTGAGCATAGTGGACATGCAGGGCTACCTTACTACAGATAAACCTCTGTAAGAACAAAGGGCTGTCTGTTTGTTGGGGCAGCAGAGGGGTGAGGGACATGGACCTTGTTCTAGAGGTCATTGACACCCAGCCTGGGGTACAGGCAGAGGCAATCCCTTGTTTTGGGTATAATAAGGCACATGTCTCCAACTTTTGAACTTTAACAGGGTGACACAGTGACAACCCAATGCTAGGTACCCTCTGCAGCCCAGGAGTGGACCTAGGACAAGATAGCTGTGTAGAGCCAGCCAGCCATCATACCCTGCATCTGTTCACTGAGTTTCCAGGGTGTTCCACAAATGTGCAAATAGCTGGGTGACTTGAATAAGCTGCAGAGCTCCTTGTGGCAGAAGCTGTTCCTGGAGGTGACCCAGAGCCCAAAGGTGGCCTGGAGTCCAGGTTCCCATACCCCAGTACCTTCTGCATCCTTTCTGAGGGCTGGATGAATAGTGTAGTGATGTGATCCCAGCATCCATGACAAGCATCTCAGGATTGCCTGGAAGTCCATCTCCAGGAATGGGACACCTGTACAGTGTGGGCAGTATTTTTTGTCAACCTAACAGTCATCTGGGAAGAGGGAGAGTAAACTGAAAAATACCTCCATCAGATTGGTCTATGGGCATTTTTTGATTGATGAGTGATGTGTAAGGGTCCAACACAGTACCACCCTGGGCTGGTGGACCTGGGTGCTATTAGAAAGCAGGCTAAGCAAACCATGCAAAGCAAACCTAAGCCCACAGTGATCCTCCATGCCACAGCTTTAGTCCTGTCCCTAGGTTCCTCACTTCCCTCAGTGATGGGTGTATGGCCTGAGGAGCAAGCTCAAACAAACCCTCTCCTGCCTGAGCTGCTTTCAGTCATGGTGCTTTATCACAGCAATAGAAACTATAAGACACACAGTTTTTTAAAGCTAAAAAATACTTTTGGGCTCTAAGCATTAACATCTGGAACACAGGGACCCCCAATGGACAGGACTTTCCCCACAAGCAAAAGTTGCTGAAGCCCAGATGATCCGGGTTCCTCAAGTCCACTCTGCATCCTCCCACGAAAACACAGGTCAGGGACCATTCCCAAGTTCTTTATTGGACCAGCAATGCTGGAAGCTGCCCTCAGAGTGGAGTCCCCACTGTGGTGGAGTCTGCGGAATCCTGGTCCTGCCCATGCTGGGGCAGGTGGCATCCTTTACTTGCTGTGTTCTTTCACATACTCCCAGCCCTCCTTGGAGTATTCTCTGGCCTTGGTGGGGGCCACGGACAAAGCTGCCATGACAGAGATGATGCCTGCAGGGACAATGCAGTGCCCATGAAACCCCATCTCGCCAGAACCATTCTCACAGCCAACATCCAAGAAAGCCCAAGAGTGCTAGTTAGAGCAAGAGTGAGTGGGACCACCCATTCCCTGCACCCTGTTTTACATATTTTCATTTTGTTTTTTGTTGTTTCAGAGAGGTTTCTCTGTAGCCCTAGAACTGAAAATCTTCCTGCCTCAGCCTCCCAAATGCTGGAGTCACAGGCATGGGCCACCATGGCTAGTCGTTTTTATTTAGGTCCACAGGCGACATACAGGCACACAGGGAAGAATGGAAAGGAACAGCAAGGCAAACAGGACTGGGAGAGAAGCTGGCATGCCCAGGCATCCACCAAGCAGAGGCAATGGGGCCTACCTGAGTTCCAGGAGTCACGGAAGTTCGGAAAGTTAATCTTTGGAGGGGCTGGGAGCTGGGGAGAAAGAGGAGCACAGGGGCTGGTGCATGGGGACAGGTCACACGTTATCACCCAAACCCAGTGATTACAAACCACCAAGCAGAGGTGGTGCGGGCACCAAGGCCACCCAGAATCGACCTGTCAAGCCCCATTCTCACTCCCAGCCAGGGTACCTGTGGCATCTCCAAACCCGTCTGCTGACACACATACTGGCTGAGCTGGTACATTGCTGGTGGCACCACCTCCTCGGCCTTTCTTAGAGCAGCCTCGCTCTTGTCACTGGGCCCCAGCAGCTCCTGGTCATAAACAAGGTAGACTGCTCCCCCTGCCACGCTTCCCTTGATAAGGAACCTGGCGGGAGACAGGAAGGGACTGAAGTTGTGGGGGCAGGGTCTCCGGGGACCTGAACAGTTCACCAGGTAACACCCTGGGATCCCAGGGAAAAGGATCATTCCTTTTGCCTTGTGTGACACGACTTGAAATGGTAAACCGAGTCTTTAAAAAAAGACTGGTTCATTCGAAATCCTGCCGACAGCAGTAGACATTAGGCACAAAACCCTCCAGGAAGCCCAGGGGCCCTTCCTTCATGTCACTCAAATTCCGGAGAGGAAATAAGGGCAAGCATTCCCTGTCACCCCTATTGTACATAAGGGAAAATTTAAACTGTAGGGCTGGCTGGAAGGTAGGAGAGAATAGATCAAGTTAGTTTTGCCAGTAAGCCCAGTTTCCTACAAGGGCCGTGAGAAGAGGTCCAGACGCAACCGGAAGTAAGCATTCGCAGGACACCAAGCTGCAAGGCACAGATGCCTGTAGCACGGAACTATCTCGAAGGCTCAGGGCCCAACCCGAGTCTCCACGCACCTCATTAGCGACCATACTCGAGCCACCATGGTCGATCTCTCGCTTCACTCCACGCGCAAGGACACACAATTCGCCCGCCGCTTCCGGTGGACAATGCTGCCGAGGTTCCTGGGAAATGTAGTTGTTAACGAGAGCCGCAAAGGATTCTGGGAACGGCAATAGGGTTCGACTCAGTAAATCGAGGACCGTGGCCGTAACTCTTTCTGGGAAATGTAGTCGGGAGAAAAACAAAACCAGAGATGGGCTAGGCCGCGAAGCCTCCTGGAAATGTAGTTTGGAGGGTCGATGGAAGGAGCCCTTGAAGGATGCGGATGGGATCCTCGCGCCTGCGCGAAGGATTGAGCAGCCCTGTGGTCTAGTGAGTCTTGGAGGCAGTTACCAAGGTAACGCGAGGGCGGGATTGTTCCGGAAGGCTAGTCTTTCATCACGTCTCGGGGCGTGGCTTTTACCTAGTGGGCAAAGGCGATGATCATACAGAGATCGCCGTTCTGCTGCAAGATGGGGATAAATGGTTGCTGGAGGCTGTAGCAGAGGACTGACAAATTTTACCAGCGTGTAACTCGAGAACCCAGAGATCATGGGGCAGAGAATTCTTAGAGGGTTTGAATGCTACATTCCTGTATTCACTGTGCTGTTGCAGTCACAGACCCATCTCTCCGTCTACCCGCATACCCTTTCATCCACTTATACACTTACCCATACACCGGCCTCCTCATCCATCCATCCATCCATCCATCCATCCATCCATCCATCCATCCATCCACCCACTTACCTTGCTAGCTTGCTTTGGTCAGAGCTTGGAGTTTCACAGGTTCGCACGAAGTGAGGAGGTGGACACATAAGGGAGATTTGTGGACTTCATAACTCAGTACTTCTCCCTGTGCCATTTCAGCCTTTTGGGTTTGGGAAACTTCCTCTCCTTGTCTTCCAGACTTAGGTAGAAAATTCCAAGGTAAAAAAGACCTGTGTTAGCCGGGTGTTGGTGGCGCACGCCTTTACTCACAACACTCTGAAGGCAGAGGTAGGTGGATCTCTGTGAGTTCAAGGCCAGCCTGGTCTACAGAGCTAGTTCCAGGACAGGCTCCAAAGCAATACAAACCCTGTCTCGAACCCCCCCTCAAAAAAAGAAAGAACTGTGTCACTAGGCAATGGTGGTGCATGCCTTTAATCCCAGCACTCTGGAGGCAGAAGCAGGCGGATCTCTGTGAATTCGAGGCCAGCATGGTTTACAAATTGAACTCCAAGACAGTTAGGGATGTTATACAGAGACACCTATCTCAAAAAACTAAAGAGAAAAAGAAAAGGAAAGAAATTTCATCTTTGGATCTAAGATTTCAAAGAATTAAATTATATTAAGGAAACGCGTTCTAAACAGAGAATGGAGACAGGTCAGACTGAGCAAGAAGGGCTAGTCCCTGGAGAATCTTGGGCAAGTCACCACTTCCCTGGCCAAGGATCCACAAGAATGTACTTTGCAGTGTGTTATGGTGTGATACTTGCTCAGAATCCCACACAGAAGTCAGGAACAGCAGGGGTGCACCTACAAATGAAGGGGACACCAGCGTGTGGCCCCGTGAGCACCCTGAAGGTTTCTACAGTCCTTCCCCAGATCTGAACGAAACTTGCTTCTTGGACTCTAGGTCCGGTCCCGCCTATCTTGGCCCCGCCCCCAGGCTTCTGCTCAAGTTTCTCCTCCCGCTCCTGTATTCTAGGCCCCGCCCCCGGGCGGCTGCTCGGGTTTCCCCCCCCCCCCCCGCCCTTCTGCACCTATGTTCTAGGCCCGCTTCTCCCTACGTTGGACCCGCCTGAGCCGACACACGGCTCAACCACCCTGTTACCAGGTCCTACGCCCCGGTACCCAAGCCTCAGCTGACGACCTCGCCTTCCTACCTTAGCTCCGCCTGGGGTGATACTACACCCAGACCCTGCCCTTCTGTGTTGGCTCCTCCCACTCAGGCCTGAGGCTTTGCCCTCTGCATGCTTCAGAGTTAGCTCAGTCTGCTGCACAGCAGAGCTTCCAGTTGGAGGGGGTTAATTCCTTCAAGTCATTGTACCAGAAAGCTTGCCCACTACCTCGACTCTCAGCTGTGACCACTCATATCTGTGACACCTGCCAAGAACCACTCAGCCGTTCACTGTGGACCAGCAGGGCTGGACCCAGGCCCTGCATCGTAATCAGTCTGATTCCTCAGTTCAAATTCCTCAGGCTGGCAAGTGTGGAGTGTGGGAGGCTGAACCAAGAGAGAAGGCTGGGGGTACCCCTCAGTTGCTAGAGCACTTGATGCGCATAAAATGAGTGCGATACACATCTGTCATTAGCAGGGAGGTCAGCCTGGGCTCTATGAGACCATACATCAAAAATGGAAAGGGAGCAAGTGAGGAGGGAGGAGGGAAACAGCCTTTGATTCTAGACCATTTGGCAACCCTCCTTACCCCGCTGTTACAACCCAAGGCCACCACAGACGCTAATCTCCCTCCTTCCATGAAACCCAGATATCAGTTCCGGGGGATCTAGTCTGTCAAGTTCTGTTGAATATGGGTTCCATTCTGGAGCCCTCGTGGACGAAGGCTAGCAGAGCCCCATCAGCTGACGTCTGACCTCCTCAAGTGTGTGGTGGATCAGGCTTCTCCCAACCCCTAAATAAATGTTTTGTTTTTTAAATGGCAGCAGTTCTGGGGGCTGACTCAGCACCGGCTAATGTAATAGAGGGCCGGCACCCACGTGTAGCACAGACACACACACACATGCAGACAAAACACCTCTACACAAAAATATATATTTTATTTTGTTTTGTTTACAAGACAATGTTTCCGTGTAGCCCTGGCTATTTTGGAACTCTCTTTGTAAATCAGATCAGCTTTGAACCTGCGGAGATCTGCCTGCCTCTGCATCCCAAGTGCTGGGATTAAAGGAGTGTGCCACCACCACACCACCCGTCCTTTTTTTTTTTTTTTTAAAGTTAGATTTACTCGTTTTATTTTATGTGCTTTGTCTACAGGTATGTATCACGTGCGTGCTGCCCACAGACGCCAAAAGAGGGCATCAGATACTCAGATACCCTGGAAAAGGAGATACAGATAGATGTTCTAGTGCCACCATCGTAGATGCTTAAGATTGGTCCCAGGTACTTTGGAGATAAATCAAGTGTTCTGTGACGTCTCTCTAGCCTGATAACAAGAACTTTAAAAAACATTTTTACTGTCCGAGAAACTCGCTTCAACAGTCTCGAACTCATAACCTAAGGGAAGACCCAAGGCTACAGCCATGTCCTGCTCAACTGGAGCTGGTTGAGCGGGCCTCGCATATTCACAGGCGCCGCGGAGCCTCCGGCCACCAGAGGGAGCTCGCGGCACGCCTGCCTCTCTAGCCTCAGCGGCGAGCCACCCACAGATATCCCAGGGTTCCGCGCGGCGCCATCCTTCCTGTCGCGGCCGCCATCGGAGAGCAGCAGGTAAGTGGAGCTCGTCAGGCCGGTATCTGCCGCCATCGGGGCTCCCGGGCCCGTGGGGTGCGTCGGAGGGCGGGCGAGCGGGTGAACTGGCCGATGTGCCGGGTCTCAGTCGCTGTCTCATTCTCACCGCCCGCAGCCATGGCCCTGCGCTATCCCATGGCCGTGGGCCTCAACAAGGGCCACAAGGTGACGAAGAACGTCAGCAAGCCGAGGCACAGCCGGCGCCGCGGGGTGAGTGCCGGGCAGTCACGAGCATAGGGGAAAGCCGAGGGCTTGCTGGTGTTGGTTGGGCGCCGCGGGGAGGGGAGCCCGGGCGCAGGATGGTGCGTCCCGCCCCTCGGTAATGGTGGTTTTGGCGTCCCCGCAGCGCCTCACCAAGCACACCAAGTTCGTGCGGGACATGATCCGGGAGGTGTGCGGCTTCGCGCCCTACGAGCGACGCGCCATGGAGCTGCTCAAGGTGTCCAAGGACAAGCGCGCACTCAAGTTTATCAAGAAGAGGGTAGGCAGTGACCCCAGAGGGTGGGCCTGGGGCGGCGGTGGCCATGGCCGTGGGTGACGGTGTGACTCCACACAGGTGGGCACGCACATCCGCGCCAAGAGGAAACGGGAGGAGCTGAGCAACGTATTGGCGGCCATGAGGAAGGCGGCAGCCAAGAAGGACTAATGCCCCCACCCCCAATAAACGTTACTGCCGGGCAGATGTGTGTGCGTGCTTGTGTTCGCAGACGCTCAATGACTCAGGCTAGGCTCTGGAAAGGATTCTACTTTATTCATGATTCTACACCTGTGCTCGTGGCTGTGCCACACCATGATTATTCAAGGAGGCCCCACCCCCGTGTCACCGCTCCACAGCCATAGCCTCTCGAAGTTCATGCAGAGGGAAGGCAATGCGGAAGATGTCACGGTAGTGCTCCACGAAGTGGACCTCGAGGCCCTCTGTGATGAAGGGTGCCAAGTCCGAAAAGTCCTTTCTGTTCTCCACCGGCAGGACAATACAGGTCACACCAGCGCGCTTGGCCTGTGGGGACATGCCGGTCAAATCGGTCCAGGGCTCACCACCCTGAGGTGGCCAGGGGCACAGGCAGTGAGAACTCACCGCGATGGTTTTCTCTTTGATGCCACCCACAGGCAGCACTTTGCCTGTGAGGGAGACCTCCCCTGTCATGGCCAGGTTCTGCAGCACGGGCTGTCCCAGAGCCAGGGACAGCAGAGCTGTCACGATGGTGCAGCCTGCACTGGGACCATCTTTGGGGGTGGCACCCTGCAAGGAGAGAGCAGGCGGTGAGCCCAGGTGGTGTGATAAGTAAGGTTGGATGACAAACAGATGGGGTCCTACCTCAGGCACGTGCAGATGAATGTGTGAAGTGACCAGGAAGTCATTGTCAGGATCCTGCTCCATCAGGAAGGCACGGGCAAAGGTGTAGGCGATGCGGGCACTCTCCTTCATCACATCCCCCAGCTGGCCGGTTACCTCTAGGCTGCCTTCCTTGTCCTCCCTGCTGCCCCTAAGCAGGGGCCGCCTTAAAGACGTCTCCACGAACAATGTGGAGCCTCCTGGAAGATGGAGAGGAGTCTGAATTTGCCACCTGTACCTTGCTCCCTAATCCTACACTTGGACTCCTAGTGCTGGCAGCATGCACATGTGTTAGTCCAGGCAGCAACATTGGCATGGGGCGCTCACCCATGGCAGTCCAGGCCAAGCCCATGACCACGCCAGC